AGTATAGCGCACCATCAATGGCGTTGTAGTTTTTTCCCGCGCTCGACTGAATGCCAGTGGCACCAAGATCGGTCCAGGTGTTCATGTCCTTGCTGGTAGCAACACCAATGGCGGAGTTCTGAACTCCGAAAGAGGATACAGTGTAGTACAGGTAGTATGTGTCGCCGACCAGGGTCACGTCAGGAGCCTGAGTTCGTCAGCCTATCTTCAAGCAAGTGTATACATGATGGAACGTACCCAGAGATCGTCCCTGCCAGCCAGGTTGATCTTGGAACCAGCGGGGATCGCGGCACCCTTGTAGGACCACGGACCGGTGATCGAAGGCGCGGTGTGAATGGCAATCTTACCACCCGTAGAGAAACGATAGTAAGTGCCATCGGCACGACGAATAAGGGCCGGATCGTGAGCGTTGTTGCAAATACCGGAACAGGCCATGGGGTCAGCATAGCCGTAGACGGCGGTAGCAGCCGAGAGCAACGACGCGACGATAGAGTAACGCATCCTGGCGATTGGTAGCGAATGGAAGAGGAAACAAGAAGCGAAAGATGAATGAAACAAACAGACAGGTCTGGTAAACAACCTATATATTACCGGTGGTACTTTTAGACCTCTCGAAGAATCCCAAAGCGGACCATTCCGAAACCTTTAGCATAGACTAGACGTGGAGAGGTGAGATTGCCAGTCCGGCGCTGACCTGCATTCTGAATGGTGGAAACGACATTCTCGGTATGTGCATGAAGAAGCCGGTACGGAGAATTGGTCAAAAAGTGTCTAGGCCTGCATGTCCAGGCAATCTAATGTGAGGGGTGCAGGTGGTGTTTCACGTTTTGCAGGTCTGCCGCGATGCCTGACTGGTGGATCGTACGAGAAAGGGCTCCACGTGTAGAGGCTCAAGGGAGGGGCCTGCACTGTGTCGGATAGCGACCGGCTCGAAATTAGTTAGGTGTTGACACGCGCCACATCCATACCTGATCCGCCCACACGTGTGGCTTTCCGCACGTTACGGCACGGGCAGAGTGAAACGTGCCGAGTGCAAGGGCTGGGTTTGTGGCGCGCCATAATATCGAGCGGTTCCAGAACTGATCCCCTCGCTCCAGCAGCCTCAAAAGGTTCGAAAAGATGTCGGGAGCTGAATAGAACGACCTGCGGATGTTGTGGGAGTTGCAAGTGGTAAGGGCATCATGTTCGTGGTGGTGAAATGTTCCGAGGCTCTCTCCTAGCGCCACATCAGCCGCCGCTAGCTCCTTATGGCCCATCTGTCTCCTGCTTCTTCAGGCTACCACCCTCCGCAAAGATCTTCGTCGCGCATGCATCCATCGCAAAGCCAAAGGCGTCCATTGAACTCTATTAGAATGGCCAGTGTTGTGCAGCATCCATTTGTTGATTTTCTATGGTCATGCGGGCCGACATAGATCTACCGAATCTAGAAAATCTCACCGCTCACCGCCGAAATAGGACTAGCGGGTATCCCATGGATGTCATCCGGGGACACTAAAGACATAGCTCTTACTTTAACTCAATCAACCCTTGGCTTCGTTGCTGTCCGATTACTATTACTAGTTCAACATCGAAGACCGAGCATAGTATCTTGACACTACACTTACGGCGTCGAGCAGATTTAGTTGAACGAGGGTTGCACGGGCGAGGGAACAGCAAAGGCAACCAACGCAGCATTCTTTTCTCATCATTGCAGTATGACAGATTGGTTGCGGAAAACATTGCTACGAACGATTAACTGATTACATATCCCCAATCTAACTCTTGCAAACAATAAAATGATGCTGACGTTGACTCAACACCCAACGGCATCTTTGACCGCCTCTATCTAGGTCGTCCCCGGATAGCGCCATGTTGACACCCTAAGGAATGAAGACGTCGAAGGCAGACACTGGCGCGCCGCTTTGGCTTACACCGCCTCCAGGGATGTACACCTTCCCTTCCACGCCGACAGCATACGTGCCATGCCTAGGAAGCTTCATCTTTGCAGCCTTCACCCATCGGTCCCGCACAGTATCATAGACCTCGACCTGATCAAAGACTCCGGTCTCCGATAGCGTACTGCCCTCACCGCCGAAGACGTAGATGTCCTTTCCGACGACACCGGTTGCAACACCACCCCTAGCCGTAGGCATGCGCGCCGGGCTAGTCTTCCAACCGGCATCCAGATTACAAAGATCAAGAAAGAAGACCGTGTCGCGGAGATTCTCTTGTCCGCTGTCTCGTCCACCAAGGACGTACATCTTTGAGCCAACGACTGCGGCTCCAGCGTGATCTCTGGCTTCCGGGATATACTTCGCAGCCTCTGGAACGGCGAGCCACGTTTTGGTCTTGGTATCGAAGATGGACACCACGGAGACACTGCGCTGGCTGCCATGTTCGAAAAGCTCAAGCTCCGACATGCCGGCAGCGAGATATATCTTAGACTTGTAGGTACCGACGGCGGCACTCCCTGTATCTTCGCCGGTAAGTATGCCTGGAATCGATTCCCATGCATCTCTGAGAGGGTCGTACACCCATGAGTCTGGTACTGAGCCCCAAACCCTGGTTGTCTCGTTGCCTGCCTCCGCCAGGCCGCCTAGGACATAGATCTTCCCGCTCACAACGGCTGCATTGGCGTGATTAAGGCCTCGTGGCATGCTCGCTTTCGTGGTCCATGTGTTGTTGGTGATTGAGTAGAATTGCATCAGCGGAGTAGTGTGTACAGGTGGGAAGGACGTATTGGCTGGAATAACACCGCCAAGAATTGCGATGGTAGATGGCGGGAGGAACACCGTGGTGTGTTCCTGACGAGGAAAAAGAGGGACAGGGGCGAGTGGTTTCCATGTGGGTGAGAGCTCCTTGGAGGGCATGGATGATGCAAAAGTGACAAGGCAGGCTCCTGCCAACAAGATAGAGCTGGCTATGGATAGATACATGGTCGTTTTGTAGGGGTTTTGATGGTCGTTGTGGTAAGTAGGTAATGCAGTATATGGCAGCTAAGAGATGACACGTTTATGTGCTTATATATTCTTGACGTCGCTATCGTTGAGGGAAGACTTACATTGCTATGTTAACAGTGAAGAATATGTTGAACATTGCCCTGACAAAGCCGACTGAAAGTCCGCATCTCCGAGTGACGAAATCGGACATGAGACGGATTTTGAAGATAGGCCGGCTGCGCATTACGCCCTGCAGTACCAAGTCTTGGAGAATATCGCTTGCAGTGGAACTTGCGAATACTCATCCATCCACCGATATACTTACGCCTCAGCGCTTTGTCGAAAGATCTCCTCCGAGTGTTCCTTCCAGATCGTAAAATGTGTCTTGCCCTCGAGCGTTCGCAGTCTTCCGCCTCCCAATCTCTCATCGATCCACCGCGCAACCTTCAACGGCGCCTGCGCATCTTGATCGCCATGTACTAGCCAAACCCGTTCGCTGTCTACGTCCTTCAGATCAAAGCCCCATTCTCTCGTAAGCGCAGTACCATCCTGCATGCATCCGCCAGCGCCTTGCTTGAAGGCCTCAAGTAATGATGCAACAACGTCGTCAAGGTTGGTCTCTCCGCTTTTGTCGCGAAATTGCTCTTTCTCTTCTGGGGTCGTGGCTTGGTCTTCGAGGACACGCTTGAGGCGAGAAGGGTCTCTAGTGAGGTAGGGACGAATGAGGATGTGAGGCAGGAAGACATGGAGGGCCCCTTGTCGTAGCAGCCATGGAGTTATACCCATGAGCCGCCATGATAGATAGGGTACAGTGTCTAGAAGTGCCTCGATGGGTCCAACACCGCACACTACAGTCGTCCCTCGAAGACGCTCCTTAGGGATGAAGCGTGCGCATGCCAACGCGTATGGTCCGCCTCCGCTAGCACCCAACACGCTGAAGCGCTCAATGTTGAGATGGTCTGCAAGGCTCACAACATCCGCAGGCCAGTCAACGATACCATGATCTGCAAGAGTTGAATCTCCACAGCCTGGACGATCAATAGCGATGAGACGCGCGCCGATGTCCCTACAGAGCTTGTCCCAGCTCCTCCCGACCAAACGGCAGCCTGGGAGACCGTGGAAAAGGAAGATGACAGGGTGCGACGGGCTCGTAGATCCATAGGTTGCGAAGCCAAGAGTGCGCCCGTCAGAGAGGCTGAGCACTTGGCATTCGTTGGGTCGGAGTTGCAGTTTGGCCGGATCTGGAGGCGATGAGGGAGCGCGATCTCCGAAGAGTGTAAACATCCTGTTCATGTAAGGTTTGTTGTTCGTGAGGTAGCTTAGCGAGCAGTGATGAGATGATGGACGTAGAAGGTGCGAAGCTCGAGGCTCATATAGCTTCAATGACGCAAAATTCCCGGAAGCTTGCTGACATGGCGATATACAGACTACATGTCACACACGGTGAACGAAACGCCGTTGAATGATGCACCGATGAAGATGGCTGGCTGTCTCGCAGTCTCACATCGCGCGTGGTCTGGTGAGTAAGCATCAATGACTGCTGCCTACTGCACGTGAGACGAACATGCCGTCCGCGGCAGTCGCGGCAGCCGCGCCAGCAGTAAAACAGTCGATTGCTGCTCTCTGAGATATCTTCTTGACATTGCGAGGTCGATAGCGGTGGCACCTCATACAAGAAAAAAACTAAAAAGGTCTAGAGCCTACATCAATGCCAAGTTACCTATCTTGTTGGGTTTTAAGTTCATGTAGGATGCAGGCCTGTTCAGTTTTTTACCTGGTTGGTGTGGTGGTGGTGTTGAGTTGACGATGACGACGCGCGCGGAGCCGCTAGCTCAGGGTCGGAGGATCGGCACTTCAGCCTATCTTTAGCATGTGCATCACCACGGGGCTCCTCCTTTCATCCCACCTGGTCGCATTCCGCTGTGTCTATTGCATATCGTCTGTCTTTTTTGTTTCCTGTATTCTCGATACATTCTTGTCCTATTCAATTGCTCCTTTGCAACCTCGGATGCTGGCTCTGTGTTCCGCGGCGCAGCAGTCGCGTTTCTTCCATTTTAGTTTGAGATACCCTCAATAGACATTATGAGCCCCATTATCCGACGCATTGCTGTGCTATTTGTATTCACTACCTTTGTCATCCTTGCCTTTCGCCAACTCAGCGCCCGAAACGGACTCCCTCTGCCAAACTTCACCTCGTCGACCCGAATCGATCACGCCGTACAATGGAAGAGCATACCGGTGCGAAACCCGGTATCATCGCTCGCTCCTCTCCCCACTGGCGCCCCTGTCACCATCCCGAGAATTCAACATGAGTTTGGAATTGAGACGGAACACACCAAGGCGGAGAGACTGCATAGACAAGCTGCTGTAAAGAAGGCATTTTTACACAGTTGGGGAGGATACAAGACCCACGCGTGGCTGCAGGATGAAGTCACTCCGGTAACAGGAGGCTTCAAGAACGGCTTTGGACAGCGAGGAGCAACTCTGGTCGACACCCTGGATACCTTGATCATCCTAGGGTTAGAAGAGGAATTTGAGGAGGCCGTACATGCCATCAAGAAGATTGACTTCACCACTGCAGGTGTCGCGCGTCTGAACGTCTTCGAGACTACGATCCGCTACCTGGGGGGTCTTCTAAGCGCATACGATCTGAGCAAGGCGAAGCACCATGCATTACTACACAAGGCGACCGAGCTGGGAGATATGCTCTACGCTGCCTTTGACACGCCGAACAGGATGCCCATCACCCGATGGGACTGGGAGAAGTATGATTTTGCCATGCCACCGACCCACACAGACTAACAGAAACCAGTGCTGCTCTAAACGGCCACCAAGAGGCCGACACGCAAGCGCTCAGCGCCGAGATAGGATCGCTATCCCTCGAGTTCACCCGCCTGTCGCAGCTTACCGGCGATGCGAAGTACTACGACGCGATAGCGAGGATCACCGACGTGCTCGAAAAGCACCAGAACCGGACGAAGATACCTGGCCTATTCCCAATACTGGTCAGTCCAGGTCGGGAGGAATACAACGTCGACGGATCGTTCACAATGGGTGGCATGACTGATTCGCTGTACGAATACTTGCCGAAGCAGCACTTGCTTCTCGGAGGTCTGACAGACCAATACCGCAAGCTATACGAGCGCGCCATCGAGCCAGCGAAAGAACACTTGTTCTTCCGGCCTAGGATACCCCAGGGTGAGAACATTCTCGTCTCTGGCGATGCGCGAATTAGCACCTCAGGCTCTGTCAAGCTCGAACCCAACGGCCAGCACCTCGCTTGCTTTACGGGTGGCATGGTTGCTTTGGGTGCCAAGATCTTCAATCGGACGGATGAGCTAGACGTCGCTCGCAAGCTAGTGGACGGATGCACCTGGGCTTACGACACGATGCCCACGGGTATCATGCCAGAAACCTTCCGGATGATGCCTTGCTTTGGAGAGGAAGATTGCGCGTGGGATGTGGAGAAATGGCATGCCTCTGTCAGGTACTCCTACTCCAACAACATCCACGCCGAGCATTACGACGTTCAAGATGTCATCAAGGAGGTGGGACTGCAGCCTGGTTTCTCTAAGATTGGGGACCCGCGATTCTTGTTACGGTAAGTATGCGCATCACTTCCAACATGCATAGCTAACATCAGTCACAGCCCGGAAGCCATCGAGTCAGTCTTCATACTCTATCGTATCACCGGCGACACCACCCTCCAAGACACTGCCTGGCGCATGTTCGAGTCCATCAACAACGCCACTCATGCAGAATTCGCCCATTCTGCCATCGCCGACGTCACGATACCACAAGGGCAAGAGACACTCAAGTTGGATGAATGTGAAAGCTTTTGGATGGCGGAAACTCTAAAGTATTTCTATTTGATCTTTAGCGAGCCAAGCCTTGTCAGCTTGGACGAATATGTATTGTGAGTATAGCCTTTGTGAGGTTGAAGATGACGCTAACGATTCTGTAGCAACACTGAAGCACATCCACTGCGCCGGCCGCATTAGAAAGATGGCATCACCTATCTTAAGCGTATATATAAATTTACTGGGAAACAAAATTTCCCACATTTGTGTACTACAATAATGTATTCCACGAAAACGAAAATATGTTGCCGACGCTGGAATGGAAGGGGCGGGTCACGCTCTCGTTCCCACCAACCCGACATCTGCACATGGGACAGATCATGTTCGTCTCCAAGCTATCGATGAGACACTGCCTTCCAAAGACATGCCCACACGGAGTTCTAACAGGGTCGTTGTCCGGCCTGTTTTCACAGAAAGGCAGAGCATAGCTCGCATGCAAGCGCTCCGTGATTTCCCGCTCTTCATCGTCGAGGTAAGTGGCAATCGATGGACCGGGAAGCAAGAGAGCGTGCTGAGCTTGAAGCAAAGGAGTTTGCGGCGCGAGAAGCAGAAGAGAAGGCAGCCCAAGAAGCTCAAGAACAAGCAGAGCGTGAACTCAAAGCACAGGCTGCTGCAGCGCGTGCAGCGCAAGAAGCAGAAGAACATGCCGCACAGGAAACCCACGACCGGGCGGTACGAGAAGCTCAGGAGTTTGCAGAACGCGAACTCAGCGAACGCGATGCCGCAATGCGCGCAGCACAACACGACACACTAGGCGCTGTATTGGAAGCAAAAGAGAAAGCAGAGCGCGAAGTCAGAGAGATGATTGAGCGTGTGGCCAAAGAGACAATGGAGCGCGTGATCAAGGAGACGATCGAGCGTGTCACTAAAGAAACCGTAGAACGTGTCACCAAAGAGACCGTAGAGCGGGTCACTAGAGAGACTGAAGAACGTGTCACCAAGGAGACCGTCGAGCGTCTCAAAAGGGAAATGGCAGAGCGTGACGCAAAAGCGGCTACGGAGCAACAAACGCAAGCCTCCACAGAAGCAGATAAGATGAACGGGTACAAGAACGAGAATGAGCTGTTGGAGCCTTCGTCAACGAACACGTCGCCCGTCGAGCCCTCGATCACCGACAGCTCAGCAATTCCCAAGGAGGCCAAGAAGAAGGCGACTCGCCCACCAGCCACTTGCTACACCTGCAACGAGGAAGGCCATTTCGCCCGCGATTGTCCTATGAAGCATGCCAACGCCACCGACGATAATCCACCTCTACTTCATACTGGTACAGATGCTACGCCGAAGATCGAAGTAACGAGTAAGCCGCCGCCACCAACGCCTGCACCCGCAAAGCTTGTGGTTAAGCTTCCAGCCTCTCGTAAAGCTAAAGCAAAAGAGGTCGCGAACGACACCACTGCTGTACCTCCGGAGGCCAATCCACCTTCCATGGACGCCGCGGCGCCTCAAAAGCCTGCTAAACCAATCAGAGCGCCAAAGAAGAAAGCTTTACGACCAGCACCTCCGGAGGGCCAAGGCGTTAATGGCGTCCCTATTTTGATTGATCAACCCAGCATTCTGCCTCCAACCAACGGTACCGCAAACGTGTCTTTTTCGGGGCAAGCAGGCCAGCCAGCCAAGAAGCCGAAGGTGAAAGGCCCATTGGCTTGCTATGTGTGCAAAGAGGTAGGACACAAGGCGAAGGACTGTCCTGCGAAGAGTGAAGGACACATGTTCAATGTCGTCAATTACTGGTAGAGGCATCGCCTCGTCACCACACGGGATATAAAGTGCTTTGCACGGCGTTGAATCTATGGAATTGATGTGATGATACCCCACAGCGATTTATTGGTAAACATGAACGAACACCTTGGCTAGCACGGTAACATGAACAGCCTCTTAGACCCAGACCCCAAAACAATATAAAAGAGAAGTACCACCACCATCTCACTTCTCACAACTCATTCCTCTCCCCCTTCGCCCTAACCTTCAGCGCTTCAACCGTAAACCTAACCTCCTTCTCCCCGGTCATCGTATGCCCAACCTTGCCAATCACCGCCCCATCCCTCGGCTCATTCGAGTAACTCTCCAACCCATCAAACACGCCCTCACACTCGCTCTCCTCCGCATCATCAACCCACAGCGGCAGAATCGGATAAATCGCGCCCGGCGCAAAGAACACCATATCATCCTGCACACTATAATGCCTCTGCAACATCTCGGTCTTCAGCCACTCCCGCACTTTATAAGGCACGTCTGCCATGTTCATCTGTATGAGTTCCCGGCCGGTGCCGTGGACGTCGATGCCGCCCCAGGACCCTGCGTAGAGTTGCTTGTTGTAGAAGACTTTTAGTTGGGGGGCTGCGTCTTTGAGGTCGGGGTAGAGTTCGTTGAGTTTGTAGATTTTGGCGTTGTAGGTGGACTTGGAGTGGCAGTGTTGGGTGTAGGGCTTTAGGGTTGTGGTGTCCCATTGGGCGGTCCAGAGGGCGCCTACGGGGGTGGGTTCGTCGGCGGCGGGGGTGGGTTCGTCGGCGGCGGGGGTGGAGGATGGAGATGGGGCGTCTGAGTTGGCGTAGGTGGTTGCTGCGAGGAGCGCGGGTGGGAGGAGAGAGAAGAATCGCATGTTGAATTCGCTCGAATACGTGTACGAGGAAGTGGAGTGATGCCAGACGGTCTGAAGATGCAGTCGCGAAGGTTATGGCGTGCTGATTGCCTGTAGAACCCAAAACGTATTGCAGTCCAATCCCGGCTATATATTCCATCACCCAAATTTCTTGCGTTCTGTCCTTTTCACTTCGCGCGAGGTCCCATGACGTCTCCGCGTTCATGTTCCGCTTTCCATATTAAAGGCCAGGGTTGTTAGCGACGCGACAGGAACGCGATAGATTAAAAGAACACGGTGGAGGCACGCTGTGATGCTGATCGGCATACAGCTCGCCGAGAAAGCGCCCAGTGCAATTCTTTTCGTGGCTTGATGCTTGTGCCTCAGGATGGCGGAGGTTGGAATGTGGGGGAACGTGGGGTGACGATTGTCGCCGAAGATCAAGCGCCTGCACGTGCGGAAGGGCTGAGTAACGCCGCTTGTCTAGATGAGACAGAATTCTTGCTCTTTTCGTTTCCCTTCTCCGACTTCCCTTACGAGCTGGCCGTTCATGATACTGTCGACATAGGCTTCGCCTAGCATGAGAAATTTGTCGCCTTTTGGTCGCAACACGTATGGCACGTTACCCCCATAGAGCACCACGACGATGTCACCCTTGCGCATACATTTTGGACCAACCCCGTAGTCTTTTTTCGATGTCCAAAAGAAACGCCGTTTCCAGGTGCGACGTTCAAGCTCTTCAAGGTATTGACGTGCGTCGTCACGCAAATTGTCAAAGTCCGCGGTTGGTGTACGGTACCATTCGATGCAGTGTCTGAATGCTTCGTAGTGCGCGCAACGTGACTTATCATCAAGCATGTTGAGATCTCGATTCATCATGCTCATACCAAGAGTCAGTGTCCGAGCTAGCACCGGCAAAGTCACGTCGCCCATTGGGTTATTCCAATCGATCCCCTCGTAAAGCTCAACGACCTGGTAATACGTTTGAAGCCCACCAGACTTGGAGTCAAGAGATATGAGGAATGTCCTATCCACTGCCGTCACTTCGGCGTGGAAGATACCGGTGAGACATAATTGCTCGTCCCCAGGACCTTTTGTATCGACGATCTGGGCTTCACGTCCGCTACAGGCGCCATATCCAGGAACTATAGATGAGCTGCATACATGATGAACATCGACAACAGGAAGATCCCAGCGTGGTGCCCATGACCGGTATCCGTCGTCTCCGTCGTAATCTGGATGATGTACTACGTGCGCAAAGACCTGTAGGTGTCTAGTACTAGAGATCATTTGTAACGCCGTATCGGTAAAAACACGTGCAGCACTCTTCTCGTAGTCTGGCACCATTGGACCACCGTCTACCCCAAATCCAACAAGACCGATCAGGCCATACACCTTGTCCCGTGGGTCTGTTGATTGGAAACCGCGGAAATCCGATAATATTTCGAGGAGTGACCAACTACTAGGGTTTAACTCGTAAATGACGTCCACGTACCCCGCGAAGATCTTTGTGAGTAGATCTTTTGAGCCATCAATGCCGTATAATCCCTTGTCGAACATGCATAACGCTGTTAGGCCGACCTCGGCCCAGGGCAGACTTTGCTCGCCCCAAAGTACAAGAGCATTTTGTGCTAACTTGATTTCCTGTACACACCAGACTCTTGAGAATAATGGGCGTGTGAACATGTCTAGCAAACCCTCAAGTACTATAGGTGTGAAGATGATCATTGGAATTTCAACCGCTTTGTGTGCTTCCTCATCGTCTAGGTCCATATCATTTTTCAAGCTGAACTCTTTGCATGCATCCGCAATAAATTTGCAGCACCGAAACACTTCTCTGATGACGCTCTCATTACCGTGACCGAGCCAGACGTTAACCTGCGTTGCTTGCGAATATATCTTGCTCATCAGAGGAACCTGGTGGCTCTTTTCTTGATTGTCGTCCTGATTGATGCAAAGAGCGTCGGCCCAGATAATTCGGGTAGTATGCTCAAGCCTCAGCCTTGCTAGAGCATACGAGAGTTCTGGTCGTATATTGAGACGTTGGTCGTTGCATAAGATCGAGACGCTGGGTGGATCAGTCCCCCAAACGTACGACAGGGCTTCGTAGACAGGTGCGTCGTCGAGGTTGACCAGCTTGAGTGTACATTCCAGTTGTCGGTCTCTTTCAGGGAAAGGTTGGATATGAAGAACACGAATCTGGTTTCCAGAGAGTAGTCTTTCAGCGTAGATTGACGAGGTTGGTTCGGTGTACGTAACATCCATTGCAGGTTGTGGTTGCCTTGACAAGGCTGAGCGGACGGCACCTGGGAGATAAGACGCCTGAGCCTAGCTAGGCCGCGATAATGTCGTTTGTCGGAAGGCGCTGTTGCCGACAACTCATCCGTATGCGTATCCGTAGGTGCGACTTTGGAATATGTGTAAGAGTCCAGTGACTGCAGTGCGGTGGTAGTGGGGCTGAGGTTCTCGTCCGACGAGATGGAAGGCAGCACTACGCTAGGAGGCACATATGATGACTTACATCCTACCCCGCTAAAAGCTTGTCTCGCAACCTTACTCAGGCCGCCAATCATCGCATCGGTGTGTCACGAGTAGAATGAATACATAGCCACCCAAGAAATCTATTACGAGCATTAGGTCAAAGGGAAGTCTTTTCCCGCCTAGATCTATGTTTGGCAATCGCATATACTCTTCCTCCAAACTGAACACCCTGTCTAGCATGTATCTAGACTTTATTGTTTCTCGCGAGTGGCTTGAGTCCCGGCAGCGCAACAACAATGATCGAAAGAGTCATCTCCACCATACTTAGAGGATCTGAAAGAGATAATGTTAGTCTGATTGTCGTGCACAGAACATGTAGCACACAGAATGGCGAACTTACAAACCAGGTTTTCCTGTCCTGTTCCAATCTTGAGGCAGGCGAAGCGCACAATGCTCGACGCAATGGTGAGCGCACCGAGCGCGAACGTAAGACCCACACCAGCCGACGACCTCAACACACCCTTCATCAGGAGCACAACAGGAACGGCGTAGACCGCGAGGTAGCAAGCCAAGTTGAGAGTAAAGTTCAAGATGAACGGCTCTGGCGCGTAGAAAACGGAGCAAGCGCCCTCTTCCTGAGACCACTGCACAGACACCGGTGTGCCGCAGAAGAAAGTATCATCGAAGAGGATAGTCAGGTAGCTCGCGACGACAAAAGCCGTGATACCGAAGAGCATCTTGCGCAGTCCCGGGTGACCAGCAAGGTTGAAGAACGCCCAGTAGAACGCCAACATGCTGAGTTTGGGGAAACCCATGCCGACATCGTAGAAGTAGTTCGAAGCGAATGAGATCTGCGCAACGAGTTAGATGTGCGCGCAGTGTGACTACCAGAAGGACAACTCACCTTCGACAACTTCACCGACGTCTCATACTCATCCAACACACCCATCTGATACGTGAGCGTATCACAAACAATCAACCCCAACGCAACCAGCGCCGAAGCCAACAACAGATAATCCGACGCGTCCAACCTCGACCGCAGACGAAACAGACGCGTGTACATGCGCGCCGCAACGAAACAGTATGCGAAGATCAGGAGGATCCATTCTGAGATCTATCACAATTGTGACAAGTCAGCACCCTGTTTCCATCTCGTAGATCAGTTCGTTGGTATCACCCAACTAACTTACCATGCAGTCTTTCCCATCAATGTAGTGTGCCATTTTCGCTGCTCCTGTGCTGTGGTGTGACAGTAACAGTCACGAAACAGTCAGGATAAAAGGCCGTTGGATGAATTGTTACGCCGCACTCGCTTCTCAGCGTACTGCAAGGAGATATGTATATTGAGCCAATTCCCATAACATGCAGGGTACTATATTCTGCCGCGCATCTGGCATGCCCATAGCTTCTGAGGGTATGTCTGGGCGACGAATTCTACCGCCTATCATGCGAAACTGGGGTCGGACTTCTGTCCTCGAATTGGAGAATCGCATGGCAAATGGGTGAGCCCTGCATGCAGGCGCGCGGAAGTTTGCCTGGAATAGAGGCGTTCTGGCTGCCGTGGTAGATGGGCTGATTCCAACTGTGATCCTTGCGCTTTACACACGGCTGTACCGTGTCGGTGGGTTCGGTCCACGGTGGGAGGGGCTTTTCAGGCGCATGGGACGAGCGTGTGAGGTCTTATTTCCTGGGTTGTGCAACGGATATCTGATTGAGCATCAAGGCTGTGTAACCTCTAATTCGTGGTTATGTTTTGTTCGGCCCTTCGCTGCTGATAAGCTTGGTCAAGCATCGTAGCTTCCTTTGGTGTTCGGTTAGGCGAACCGGTGGATGAATTTTGCCAAACGAGGCCTCCCACTGCAGGCGAAGCTCTCGGCCAATGCCGATCCACAGCTTCGACGGCAGCAATGCGGCACGGTCAAGAGTATTTGCAAAGGTGACTGAAACCTATAGAGACACGGAGCCATGGACTATTGCGGCTCGGCTGGATGAATATACCGCTCGGCGGCGTTCTGGTGGCGTGTGCGGACCGCAGTGGGCGGGATGGTAGCGCAATCATTCCGTGTTGATGCGAGTGGTCAGCCCAACGACAAGGGTCTATTAAGTAACATATTAAGTAACACTACGATGTTGAGATGACCCGGCTGCTAAACCTCGTACAGACAGATTTCGTTCAATCCTTCGAAGTACTTTTGCTTTTGCTGCTACCAGCGACTAGCTACATCTCAATAGAATGGACTCCTGAACCACCCTCATGGGTACTTGGCAGGAATCTCGTGTTCCTCATCAGGCGACTTTGAAAACTGCACGCTAACGCGGCGCGTCTCGTAGATGACATCTTTCCTTGACATGGTGTTCAGCTCTACTTCGCTGCCCGAGTCTTCATCTGTATGCACGCGGGCGGTGTGCTTGCCTCTTCTGGAAGGACGCAAAAAGTTGTGCGACCCGGATGCTGGTGTTTGGTGTCCATATGTACGAGATCCAGAAGAGTGCGATTTCTTGTTCGAGGAGAAGAGGCTGCCGCGTCGTAGGAAGGATCTCATTGACGGTAGGGAGACTACCATGATGGCGACAGCCATTTCGGTCATGGAAAGGACGTCTATACATGTGTTAGCGACAGTTCGAGTTGTGTCTGACTGCATGCACTTACAGACGTTGGTCCAGGCATATATGACCTCTATCGTTGCGAACCGAAGCACACTCATTGCTATCGTGACGATACCAAGTGAAAATGTCGCTACAAGACCCCAGATCTGGCGACGACGGAGCTGTAGTGAACGAAGTAGGGGGAATGGTAACGCGAAGACTGTTGGTCCATTGTTAGTGCCTTGTTCGCCCTCTGTATGATACAGGATTGCCTACTGAACACGTCGGAGGTGACATTAAGGCTCCAGTCGATCCTGAAAACCTCCTTGGAGCTGAAGGTATTACAGGCTGCCTCATCAGGGGACCAATTCGAAGAAACCTGGCGCCCGCACCAGAAAGTATCAAGAAAGAATGTCGATACCATGGCACTTGCAGTGAAAAGGGTCACTGCGTAAAGTGCTTTTCGCAACCACGGCATCGTCGGAGGGATGAGCCTAAAGTATAGCGCGAGGATTGCCAACTTTGGCCAGTAGATGCCAGTGTCGTAGAATGCATTGCCGGCGAATTGCACCTTCTTGAGCGCGATCACACGAGCTGTCGATGCCTCTGCATCATCCGTCATGCCACCCCATATGTACGTCAGGTAGTCGGTGACGAAAAGGCCAACAGCGTCCAGGATAGACGCTATCAAGAGACTGTCACTAACAGTAGGATACTGTCGTTGTAAAAGGCGGGGAACCAGTCGACCAGAAGCCAAGAATATGGCCAAGGCCATGAGAGTAGCTTCGATGGGCTTTGCAGATACGTTAGCAGAGTCATGACAGCAAAAAGAAGTACTTGAAACATACAATTACAGCCTCTGGAGCAACGCCGTTAGCCATGATGATGTCGAAATAGCGAAAGCACCATGAACCAGCCGATGGTGTCCACGCAGAGAGGAAGTGATCAGATAAAAACTATCACTCCGCGATTTCAAATTCGCGACCATCGCTTGGGTATACACCTACCAACATGTACGACGGACCCGATAACCCTCCATGTGGCAAAGGTACCTGATTGCTGCAATCATACGCACACAGGCACACCCGACCGCTCGGCTGGCAATATAGACGGAAATAATCAGTATGTCTGCATAGCGGGACCTGCAGTCACAGAAGCCATACGGAACGACATGGGTATATAGGACAAGACAGGGATCTTTCGTTGGGCGGGATGTGAATGGATGGCGCCGAAACCGAAGGATTGATGCCGAACCCGATGGCGTGTTGCCGATACTATGCGAGGCTGGATTTTGTGTGAGATAGTATGCGGTTGCTCCGCGCCGGAAAGGGTTCGGCACAAGTGCAAGGCTGTCATGTCGAGACATTTGACCGTGATTGTGAAGATCTTTCCTGTTCTGCTCACCTCAACGTCTTTCCGTTTTTCTGGAACGTTAATAAGACCGCCTTTTCGAACCTATAATCTGACGGCCGGATGGTGTGACAATCGGGCTGGTGTCGCAATCGTGTTGTGCTGTAAAGATCTTCTTGTGCATCTTCTTCCTCTCGAATGCCTCTGACATCGCACAAACTCCGTAGCAACCCCATCAGCTGCCGCTCAGTTTCCATCAGACTTGTGATGGTGATCAGTTGTGAAAACGTCCCGCCATCGTGGCATTGACGCGCCGCCTCCATTGCAGGTACTCGAAACAGGCACCAACAACACTCTCATGCTCTATCGTTTCAAAAGTAATTCTTCCATCGCGAAGGAAAGGTCGATGTGATTGATGCACCAGGAAACCGTGCCGTAGGGAGAGAGATCGTTGGTGTGATGGCTTGGATCGCCTTACAGTTGGGGCAGATACAACGGGCGAGCGCCGCCTCGCCTCGTCGTCGTGCGCCAAAGCGACGACGTAATACCCATCCCAGACCTCATCAGCACAAACGCGATTTTTCCATCGAGAAGGAAAGGTTGATGCAGGTTCTAGGAGCCGTGCCGTGGGCATAGAGATCGTCGAGCAGACCTCGGGGGACAACGCGCCAGCGCCGCCTCGCCTCGTCGTGCGCCAAAACGTTGACGTAGTACCCATACCAAACCTCACCAGTACCAAAAGCGATTTTTCCATTGAGAGGGAAAGGTCGATGCAAACACCAAGAACCGTGCCGTAGGCTGGCTGTACAGTAGGCACAGAGATCGTTGGGGGCAGCTACAGATACAACGCGCTCGCGCCGCCTGGCCTCGCGCCAAACCGATGACGTAATCACCAACCCAGCCTCACCATCCCAAAACCCTCAAACACCAACGCGCAGATCCACACCAGCAAAACCCACGCCGCAACACCATGTCCGCATTCGTACTCAAACTGCACCAAGCTCCCAAAAGCGGATAGCTCAACACTCGGAACACCATGCCCTTTTGCCTGCGATCCTTCCTGAAACCCGCCTCTTACAACGACAATGTTTCTTACACGGACAGACTCCTCGCGCAGATCTTCTCCTACAGCACACTCCTCGGCTACATCCTCCTCCCATCCTACTTCCCGCAACTTCAACTCCAACTCGATACCATCGACGAATACGCCGGATGCATAGAATACGAAGAGTACTGGGACTGTCCTGAAATGTACGAGTCCCTACCACCCACAACCATCCAGATCCCATCTTCATTCTACGTCTGCGCCCTAGCCTGCTGCACCGGCCACCTAGGCATCTTGTACTTATGGCAGAAATACCAGAGACATGTTCAGTGGTGTATAAACTGGGTTTTCTTTCCTTTGTTCGTGAATAGTCTTGCGGGTATGGGGATGGCGGGGAGTAAAGCCGTGGGCGCGGCTGAGGGGCAGTATAGTGTGATTTTGAAAGTGGCGATGGTAGTACCGTCGGTTTTATCGGCGGTGGCTGCGGTGTTGGCGTTGTGGTATTATGGTGGTATGTTTCGGGCTGCGAAGCGGAAGCAGGATGTGGATGTTGGGAGGTTGGAGAAGGAGAAAGGGAGGGATGAGGAGAGTTAGGAAAGCTAGGAAAGGGGAAGTTTTGTATGGATGGTTGGATTGGATTGGATTGAAAAACTGGTTTAATAAGTATTGGGGTATCAAGAAAAAGAATGCCGTCTATCATGGAAATCTCATCCCGGACGCATATCAAGCATCCTTACCCTCCTCCTGCTTCCTCCGAAACATCTTAAGTCTCCACTTCTGTGTACTCCCCGCATGCGTGATAGCCTTGTACATGTTGAAGAGAAAGATGCCGATGAAGACGATTGTAACGAATGCCAGTACGACGACCACGGATATCTGGAGAGAGTCAGCTACCACAACGTTTCATCTCGTGCGATGCGAGTACGTACCATGCTGAAAACAACAAAGTAATAAGTGGCTTTGAGGAAATGGTGATTTTCTTTGAGTTCGTCCAGACCCACTCCAACTTGCATGGCGGATAGAACCAGACTAAAGAACACGAACACGATGAGGATCCAGGAGAAGTTTCGCTGGAAGAATATGACGTAGCGATTGTATCCGTAGCTGTGAGAGGTGTGTTAGCAGATGAACCTACCCAACCGTTTGCTTTCAATGGACAGGAGATTGACTCACAGATACCCTCTCACGAAATGCGTATGCGCAAATCGTGTCCGATAGATGCTGTTGATTCTCCCCAGCCTGAGATCACCGAACTGGTAGCGTTTGTTGACTTGCTGTAGCGTGTTGATATCCACATGGTCCATGAAATCTTTCACGAAAGCTTTCCACCAGTGCCAGGTGACAAAGCTCGGCAGAAGCGTGTACTCGTGCGCGATCTTCAAATCCAGCGGTGTCGTGATAAGCCACACATAGCTGACCAGAAACCCCGCCGCACTCTCCCACAAGCCTTGTGATATCTCACCATCGGGATCCGCATCCGCAGGCTTGCAAATATACTCCTGCCAGAACTCATAGCTGAGCATCCATTCCGGCAACGGCTTGACTATAAGCTTGGTCGAGTACTTCAGTAGATGCAAATCCATTTGTTGTGTGCCTAGCACTTCCATTCCTAACATCGTGTATCTGTGCAATGGCCTGGCGCGCATGGGCCGGCCTGCCATCCATAGGTGTCCATGTATGCGGTTCAAGCGAGAGAGATCGAGGTCGTATAAGAGGAACTGACGGGGGTCGTCGTTGGCGAGGTATGCTTCGTTGTTCTTGCCGCTTATTGTGGGAAGGGACTCTTCTGCCGTGAGCGGTATTGCTATGACCGAGTCGAGCACGGGCTCACGCGGTTGTGGGCCCGTCGTGGTCCGACCCAGGCTGGTAGTAATATGCCCATTCTGATGCGCGGTGTCGGATGGCGATGTGGGGTTACTGAGTGTGGCAGCGGTGGCCGTTGGGGGTGGGATGGGACGGGGAGAGAAGGGCGGCGTCAAAGCGGTGCTCTAGTACCTGTAAGCATTCGTTCAGCGCATACCAATGCTGTCAGGCTCCACCTACCGTCTGTATCGTGATCTTATCAGCCATACTGTCCATTAGCGATAGGATAGTGGGTTATGATAAGAGTGGAGTGCGGCGCGGTGCTCTATATGACGCTCGACGCCGACAAGCCTGCTGCGGCTGTCGCACGAGGCTCACAGACGCAGGCACACCTGCGCGCATCAGGCAGGCACCTCATGACGCAGGGAGGCATCAACTGCGCCTTCTCGACGGCGCGCGGGAGCTACGGACTGGAAGGTGGGGGCTGAAGGCGGGGCTAGACTGCCTCGAGCTGAAGTTTGGCTCACGGACGCAGATGCGCCATGGGGGTTCCATTGGTGAGCGGCTTCGTCAACACTATTAATAGTAGCGAACAGGTACCGAGCCACCACCATGAAAGAAGGCGCGGTCTGGTTATCAACCTCACTCAATTCAATGTGTCTCGTCATGTCGCGAATCAGAGTATAGCATGAAGAGCATTACACATCGTCATAATTCTGCCATTAGAGTCCGAATGCAAACCAGTCGGATAGAAACACAAAAGCTACTCAATTTGAACTGCCCAAGTTTCTTCCTAATCGTTCTGCTTGTGATGCCGTCATGAGTGCCAAATTACCGTAACGCCACCTTCTAATGCAGTTTTGGATATCATTGCAGCCTTCTCATCTCATCGCATTGACCAGATCATTTGCAGTAGTTTGCAGGAAAGCTGCCCTGCTTTCCATTGACTTCGCCCTGCCACCAGTCCTGCGAGCTTTGCGTCTTCTTAATGACGCGAATTCGGTCGCCTTCTTTGAAGTGCAGATCGCCATCCGTGAGACTGTCGAAATCGTACATGGCTGTCACGTATTCGTACTGGAAAGATGCTATCTTCTTTGGTGGCGGTGGGGGCGGCTTCTTCTTCCCTGCGGCCGGGTTAGGTGACGATGGATAGCCGGTTGGAGTTGACCCGTTCGAGGCAGAGTATATCTTGTTGTTATTGAAGTAAGAATCACCGTTGGTTCCATTCGAGTACGAGGAAGCCTGAGATGTCGACGAGAGACGGCGGTCATACATACCCTGCCCAGCGCTCAGATGCGGTGAACCGCCGATCTTGGGCTTTGAGGCGCTGAGAGAGCTGTATGAGGGCTTGTTAGAGAGGCTTATGGGTGGGCCATTCTCGGAGGTCGACGACAAGGTTTGCGATGGTCGTGGAGGTCTTCCGCCGCCTGTAATGGTGGGCACGCTGTCGTTGCTGCTGGCTCTCCGACCGGGCATGACCTTATTTCTAATGCCCAGGCCTGTCAGTGTCTCGCCCTTGTCTGGTAGTCTCATTGGCAGATGGACCGCCTTGCCCGTCTTCAGTAAGCCCAAACTAGTCTCCATCTCCTGGCGCAGTGGTGTAAAGTTGGAGTCCCATAGTGGGATAACTTCCTCTGGCTCTGGTGGTGGATCGGGGTATCCTTGCTCATGTGAATACTGGTG